ATGATTTTTTCAAAATGAAAATAAACGAGACGATTTAAAAATGGATCTTAGGGTAGAAAATAAAGTGAATTATGATACTAGGTGTGACCGCAGTGAATACCAGGTACCAGGAACAGCTGAGAACCCCTCATAAATTCAGTATTGAAAAGAAAACAGCAAAATGGAATAAATTGACAATGTTGATACAATATAGTGCCAGGGAAATTATGATTTTCTCTTTATGAGTATGTCTCCTTCGGTGCGTGAATGTTTCAGGCGGTTTTCATAAGTAGTTTTCATAAGTATTAACTATCAAATGGGAATTCAGTTTTCAATGTTTGAATGATTTATTAAAAACATAAGGTTTCATGAGACCAATTTTTTTTTTTTGAATCACGGTGACTTTCATCCTCGTGGATTCGCTCAAATCATCAAATCGTGAATGCTATAGCAGTATACACTACAAATTGTATATAAAGTTTCAGAGCGGAAATTTTGTTGGTGTGAATGAGGGAGAAGTGGACAATTCGAGGAAGGAGGATACTAAATATACTTCCACCAATTTTTCATCTATTTTTATATGTTGATGAAAATCCTTACAGCATCATCATTTTTCCCGCCAAAATTCATTACATCATTTTTTTAACATTTTCTATTACGGTATGTCTTCATTAATTTTAGATAAAATCTTCATAATTTTCAACTGGTTACAAGTCTTAATACAAATTTTAGAAAAAAGTGATGGAGATATATTTTGTGAAAAGTGACAAAAATGTTGACACTGTCAGAAAATTTATATGATCAATAATATTGAAAAAAATATCAAATTTTTAAATATTATTCTAAAACCCACAAAAAAAAAGTTTCTGGTTTGTTTTCTACAATAATTAGTTTATTATTTTTATTATTCTTCAAAATTTATTCTTTTTTTCATTTTTAAAAAAATTAATAAAAAAATGGAAAAAATAAAGCTATGATGAGCAGAAATATATTTTTTTTGACCCAAAGTAATTATTATTATTTTATAATGGCTGAGGCAGAAGAAACTCCAAAAATAAAAATAATAAAAAAAAAAGAAACAATGCATACATGCAAAATGGAATCTATATTGTAGAAGCTTTGCATCAAGAGAACAATTTTACTCTGTTCAAATATTTGTCCGGTATCTGGTAATACGGGCTGTACTTTGGCATCACTTTGATGTAGAAGTGAAGACCTAAACAGTGAAATGTATACATCAACATTCCACTCATGCCATAACAACTCACTTACGAAGCGAAATCTACCTGCCTGGTACGGGACAAATAACGAAGAGCTCTGGAAAGGTTGGCGCGAGTAGTATGTACGTGTACGCCGGTCGGGTGGATATGTGATGACGTAAACGTGCAAGTGCATCAGTGAACAGGCATCTGTTTAATAATAATAGGTGAGGGGTTAGGGAAGACAATAAATATAGACTTTGGGTTGTCCACCCAGTAATCTGAAAAATAAGGCTGTCTAATATTATACCCAAGTGACATCCGATTAGCATAGGACTGACAGTGTCATAATGATTTGTTGGGAATTCAAGGCTTATCAAATGCAATCACTAAGTACTGTTTGTGTCAGGAACCGAGTCAGTTTTACGTGGGATTCTCGTAAATATGTCAATTTTCACTGAGGTGAGAGTTCACGTTAAGTAGAGAAAGTTAATTGATACGAGAAACGGTTCCCACTCCCAATGCCTCGTCTGACGTCGGAGCGCTCACAACTGTTGCAAACATGCACGTAAGTGTCTAACTGTTATCAGCTTTAATTTCTAACTTTTATTTCAACTTTTTTTTTATTTCAACTTCATCTAGAATATAATTGCCATGTTTTTTTTTAAAATTATTAATTTTTATTATAATGGTCATTTCATAATGTCACCACAATCCTCAAACTTCAATCCATCTTTGGCTTTGTAGTTTAGTGTGAAACATTTGGTTTTTTTTGATAAACTGTTTCTAATTTATTAATATTTTGTTATCATGGTTTGCAGCATTGTCCGCCTGCACAGTGTTGTTCTGTTCGGACATATAGTGGAGTGCTTCGCCGGAACATTCACCTTGAAAATTCAAGATGGGTTTGAAGTCAAGCTTAGGTTTCATAGTAACACATTCTCAATTTCAAAACACTGTACTGCTGATACAATTCTGAATAGATACAGTAGGAATTGTTAAAAAAATGAAAGAAAAATTCAGTTTTTATAAAAATGGCATTTAAAAAGTTTTTGGGAGATTTAAAAAAATAAAAACAAATTCAGTTTTCATAAAAATTGCATGTTTTAAAAAGTTTTTTGGGGGGAAAATTATAAAAAAAATTGAAAGAAAAATTCAGTTTCATGAAAATCACATACATTTTAAAGAATTTTTTGGCAGAATTTCAGAAAAAAGTGAGAGCCAAATTATGTTTTCATGAAAATCAAAATAAAAGAATTTGAGAATAAAATTTAACAGAAACTTTTTTTCCTCAGACTGTGAAGATGATATTTTGATAAAGTCGTGACTCAAACATTTTCTCTGCTTCACAAAAAAATTAAAATGGTTTACAGATTTTAGGCACGACGGAATATAAAACAGCTTGATGTAAAAGCTGAAATAAATCAAAGTACTATATTAATATATTGATATAAGTATTTAGTTTTACATCTAATGTGGATATTTGTCATCATTGTATGTCATTTTCCATCATTATGCTGCGTAGTAAGTTAATTATTATTCATTAGTTGTTCTGATATCATTTGCATCCCAGTGCATTCTGGGTGAATAAGAAGTGGCTATTTTGAGGAAATGAGAATTCTTCTATATCTTTCAATGGGCTGTTCAGGACAGACGATGATTAAAATGACGGAAATTGGCGACGCAGTTTCCCATTTATGAAATTTGCCAAAAAGTTCCCGGAAGTGCTGATAATCAAAACATTCCAACAGTCGTGACTTTAGTCCACTTATATGGAGATCAATTCAAAAATATATGGTCCATAAAAAATAGATGAAATGCAAAAATATTATTATATGTGAGAAAATCACGCTATCAATAGGAGACAAACAGTCCAGCTATGCCTTTCAGTTAGATTTGATATAGAAAACAAAATGATAGCAATAATGGGCTGGGTACTAGTAAGATAACAGAATGACTCATCAACGTGTGTGTAATTTAATAACTAGTTGAACAATAATATCAGTTTATTAGAGCATTGAATCATACTTGGAATAGAAAGGAATGAACATTTCACAATTCTGAGTTTGTTTAGCATCTAACTTTTTCGCTTTACTTTGTTTTAAAGATTTCCATCCAAATTTAGCATTACGTCTTTTCTGTGTTTCTTTTTTACATTCTTTTTTGTCATTTGGATCACTCTGGTGATGTCACACTTTTTTACTTTGATGTGAAGTTCTATGTTTGTTCGTTACTATTTTGAATACTAGTACTAAGCACAGTGAAACACAAGTGGTTAATTTACTTTTTAAATGCTAAAAATCATAAAATAAAATAAAATAAAAAAAAAGTTGGTATTTTAGTCATTTTGATGGGCTAATGACAGCTTTCTACATCAGTGAATATCAGTACTATAAACTTTTTGTTACGCGATACCCAGATGTCTTGCAAGCCAAGAGTACCTTTCAACTAAGATATTTGTAGCATTCAAATACAACAGGTGGTAGAGTCTTGGTATAATAAATTACAACACATGAATACATATTTACAATCTTACTGACGGATTTATAGTAAGTTTTGAATTTACTGAGTATCTATAAGTCTGACATGGAGCTAGCACTGATGAGTACCGATATATAAATACGTCATTAACAAAGTCGGTTCCTCCTTCCTCATCAAAAATGTAGTTTGTGATAACATGGAAATACCAGTAGTAATCACACACTTTGGAGAAGAAGGTGGTTTATGTAAAAATCACGTTAGCGATAAAAGCACTTTTATTTAAAGAGAGTGGCGGACTTACACTATTAAGTGAATGAAGTTGGATGAACTAGGACAACGACCTAGATTTTCTATGAAATAATGGTAAACAATGTTGTGAACTTTTCCAAAGTGTGCGAGCCCCATAAAATAGTGATCAGAATCCGTAAAATAACAATGCTATAACATACCAAAGCGAAATCATCATTGACATTGAAAAAAGTTTTAATTTATGCAAAGATGAATGGAATGAGAGAAACCATGGTTAACATTGACTTTTCTCTGTGAATATAACAGTTGGTAAAAATCAATATACTAGTAGTTTTTCCAACTATTTTGTTGCTATATTTTCATGTTTTTTTATATATTTTCTCTGGTAATGTTGAACAAAGCGATTCCCCACAGGCAAAAGGACTTGATCATTTTGAAACAAATTTGGAAAAAAATCATAAAGATTTTCTATTGTGAAAAAGTTATAAAAGTTGATTTAAATGATTAAAAGTGTGAAAAACGTATTAAAATTTGAAACTTCACAGACTTAACAAAAAAAAAGAGGTCCTCAAGACAGTGTGCTTTGTATTGTGGTGAGTTTGCAACCCTCCAACTGCAAGACGAGCGACACCAACCACCTGTAGTACACTGTATTTCAACTCTTGTTTGCCCCTTTTTCATATGCCATAAATTATTTATTCAATAACCCATAAGAAATGTTTTATCATATATTTCATGATACTGGCTTGGTGGTTAATTAAGTTGTGAACAAGAAAGTGATGAAACTGAGTTTGAGGAGGTGTGAGGGGGTGAATCTTAACACCATCCAAGAATATTCAATCTCTTCCCAGCATTCTGGTCAAGTTTCATTGAACTTCATATCAATGTCCAATAAATAAATTATTATTATTATTATTATTATAAAGCTAACCTCAATCCAACTCAGAATTCATTGAAAATACTTTTTCATTCCAAATTTGCATGATCATTCAATTATGCAGTGTACCACGAGAAAGACAATTTTCAGGAAGAGGAACAAATTGTTAAAATTCACATCATGTATAGTGTTATGTTTATTCTATTTACTTTCAGGTGAAGTTAAACAAAGCCAAAATGGCACGAGAAATTAACTGGAAAGATTTAGCCGAAGATGAATACAAAAGTAAATCCATCTACATCGTGTATGACCAACCATTTGATGAGAAAACAGAAGAAAGAAACAGTAGAGCAGAGGAATCATTGCCACAAAATTTACATTTTAATAAAACTGATGACCAATCCGAGGTAAGACAAAATAACCAGAATTTTTATGAAACATGTTGTCACATTATCCTGATTCATTTTTTATAAATGAAAGGGAAGTCAGTATTATTGTTAAAATGTATGTATGGGTGATATGGTATATTCCATCCTGTACCCTGCAGAAAGCCTTCTCAGCGGACATAACATCAATTCAAAAAAATGAGTCACCAGGCAATGTATTCACATCCTCTGCAGACTGACAATAATTAGTGCTAAAATAATGACCACATTTTATCGAATTATGGTTTACCACTTTTTGCTTTTAATTTAGTTCTTTTAAGTCTTACATACAAGATGGTCGCTATTTCATTCCCATAATGCATCATTCCCCAACTTCTATTTTTGTTCAGACATTTGTAGTACATTCAATAAGAAAAAAATGCTCACAAGCATTTAAAGTTTTTTTTCTATCAAACGATTTTTGTTTACACAACATTAGCTATCATCGCTATGAGGTGACTTGCTGGTGTAATAGAAGAGAGATTCAAAATTATTTTGGGCTACTGAACACATCACCAGTTTCACCTAAACACATATATGATATCATACATTGTAAGACAGCAACCTTGCATTTATCAAGATACAATATCATGTATACAGGATTTCATTATTAATATAAAAGTTAATTTTTTTTATTAGAAACGCATCTCCAAAAGAAATGCACATGTCAAAAATTTACAATGTACACAGGAATTAAAATTGACATATCTCTTGTCATTTTCACTGATGCATGCGCTACTGAAAGAATACCATAGTTTGAGATCAAAACAGGATTTTCAATGTTCTTTCAACTCGGAAAATAACAGTTCAAGATATGTGTAAAAAAAAATGTCGTCCTTAACAGAAAACATACACATTTATGCATCCGGCCTGGCAGTGTGTTTGAACACAGTTTCTGTATCTAATGCATCCAAGTCAGTTCTTATAAATTTCAAAAAGTTTTTTTTTTGATTAATCTACACCTCTTTCAATGTACATCACGACTAATTTACTCTGATTATAAAGTTAAATGCAAAAAAAAATGTTTATTTAACACAAAATGAATTTTTCACAAATAAACCTACAATTTTTTTTTCAACAATTTTGATCAACCCCTGTAGTCCTTAGGAAACTAAGTTCATTTAGTTTGAAGTTTACAAAGAACGAAAAAAAAAAATTTCAAAGGGTGAAACCAATGTCATAAAAGTTGGGCTTTTTAGTTCAATTTAGTTAAATATAAGTTTTCACAGTTTACAATTTGTTGCCAATAAGTAAAAACCATAGTAACACCATCTTTAATTGTCCCTTAAATTGACACAGATGTTCATTTGTCTAGATTGCTGTATCCTAGATACAGAGATCACTGGCCTATAGAGGGCAGCATACAAACCCACTTGTTGAACTTTCTACACACAATCATTAAAAGTACTTCAAACAAACAAACTAGCTTTCACTTGAAAACAGTTCTAGGTTTAAAATGCAGCCGAGGAAAAACAACATCATAAATGTCACCAGCAGAAAGTAGTTCCTGTCAACTGCTCGACATTTTCAACAACTTTTTTGTATGGCTGTTTAAACACTGAAGTTATCTTTTGTCATCATCATTGAGACAAACCCGTACAATTTTTTCCTTATTTTTATTGTACATTACAAAGAGGCAATGAGAAATGATGTCTATTTGATCCAAAATTAACAAATAAATTAAGAAATTAAAAAAAAATTCATAAAATGTGAAAAATATTGCACATAAACATTTTGGTGGGAAAAAATATTGGATTCAGAGGGATAAGGCCAACATTGCAACGAAAACTGAACCACTAAAGAAAATAATGTTTTTGAATGATGCAAGTCAAATAGGTAAATCATTGATGGGAACTGACATCATGGCAATCCATTATGAGTTAAGTTTTTCAGTTGCGAATCATGATTTCTAAAAGGATACTTCTACTTTTTAAAAGATTGACCTCAGTAGGTACACGGTTTGAACAGCATTGCCGTTATCTTAAAGTATCTAACAAAGTCTAATCTCAGATGTCAAGCTTGATAGATTTCAACAAATATTGATTGTTTAAGGCACATATGTTGAAGTGGGCCTTGGCTATGATGAGTCAATCTTTAACTTTCTCTTGCCCTCCTCTTTCTTTCCACGCTACAGATTATCGGTGTATACAGCAACGATTTTATTCCACAAGGAACAAGGTTTGGGCCTTTAATTGGAAAGAAATACAATAAAGATGAAGTTAAAAATGGTGCTAATAGAAAATACTTCTGGAGAGTAAGTATACTTACCTAGTACTAAACATTCAAAAAATCATGTCGTAAAACTTTTTCTGGAATTTTTGCTAAACCAGAAGCCTACGAACAAAATAGAAGACCAGAGAAAAAAAAATGTAGAACAAATGACAAACACTTGAAAAGATTTTGCACAATGAACAAAGGATGAGGGCGCATGAGAATCTCCCTCGTGTGACGTCCTCCCAATAAAATGCCATCAAATGAGGGAATGTCCCCATTTTCATACCATGGAATGTACATTTAAATTAATAAGGATGCCACTCATCCCCCGGATCTTGATTCCACACTTTATTTGGGACACATGCGGAGGTGTACTTTTCTCATTCATGCCATAACTATGTTTGTCCTCGATCCCTTGGTTCATTTGAGAGCATATTCAGACATCCTCCCCTTTAGGCTCTCAACCATGTTTTACTGTGTGCAAAACTACTTGAATTCACCAAGAGAACTTATGTATCAAGCTGGAAAGTAAAGTAGCACCACCATCATAGCAAAAAATGATATAGTAAATCAGAGAACAAAAATGCTGGTACCTAAATATATTATATGTCCATATGATAATAATTGCCATTTTCAAGGGCCTCTCTGTTGCACCTGATGGTTACCATAATTAAAGCTGTAGTCAAATATGCTTTTCAGCTTGCATCTCATACTAACCAATAAGATGTCTTGTACCATAAAAGGTTTGGATTGGCATTACAGAATGGTGGTCTAAATTTTTGGCTTGATGACATTTGCCCTTCTTTCAAAATACATGCTTTGTATGCTTGCATTTGTGGCTGCATATTATAGGAGAGAATGTATTAGGTAATCATTTTGATGAAAACTATTGTCTAATTCTGATGGCCTGCAGTGCCTAGAAATTGTTGGTCATGCTTGAAAAATAAAATAATACTGTAGAATACTTTATTTTCGCTTAGAATTTATTTTCACTGAGGGATGGTTCCGTGAAAATAAAATCCAGCGAATATCCCTTTTTCCTATATTTCACATTCAACTCATCAAAAACAGTGAAAACAAATTCAATACAACACACCCAAAATGCCTTTTCAGCGAAAATTAATTTCAGCAAAAATAAAGTATTTCACAGTAAATCTAAATAACTTAAAATATATATTATTTCTGGACAATAACAGACTAAGAGACTTTTAATATAATATGCAGTTTGAACAGAATTTATCTTTTTATAGATTGACTTGAAAAGAGCAGGCTGGTCCAACTGTAAAATCGTTCATAGGAATCAAAGTTACTAATCTATTTTTCTTTCTGTTTACCAGATTTACAAAGACAAAGAGTTTGAGTTCTACATCGATGGTTTAGATGTGAACGAAAGTAACTGGATGAGATACGTGAATCCGGCACACACCTCGGATCAACAGAATCTAGTCGCTTGTCAGAATGGAATGGAAGTCTATTTTTACACTATTAAACCCATAGAGAAGAACGCTGAACTGCTGGTGTGGTATTGTAAAGAATTTGCTGAGCGGCTCAACTACCCACCAACTGGGGAACTTATGATGCAAAAAATACGTAAGTGTAGCATGTTATTCAGACCATGAAATCTAGAGTCATCAAATGCTCAGATCTACCAGTTTGAGCAGTTACAAATTTAAATCATATTTAAAATTTAAAGTTTAAAAGTTTTGGGCATGAATTTGGGTGCCCTCTAGATTTTTAACTTTAAAACCTGTTTGAGATAATTATTCTTGTACAGTTTTGAAGCTACAGTACACACGAGAGAAAGATCATGAAAAAAAATGTCCTGTAATAATCAAAAAAAGTTACCAACATTTTCAAATGGTCCATGTAAGAATGCACACAGTTTAAATAAAAAAATTTAATCAGAAAATCTTAGTCATTCAATTTAGAAAAACTAACCCTCGAAATGTTGCCATGGAAAGAAAAATTCCTGTGAATGTAAAAATATTAACTTATAAATGTTTCACCTCCAACATCAACATGTCTGTAGACTAGGATTCCATGAGCTTCTAGTCTAACCTTTTCATCACCAGACTTTCTCGCCCAAATTATTCTGCAGTTTTTTCTTATATTCTTCAATATTTCTGGAAATGAACCCAAATTTTGAAGCCAACAGATGAAATTTGTGTCAAATTTCAGGTTTTACTCAAAATATTTGGCTATTTTTGTCTCAATCTTCAAAAGGAAAGTGCACACTATAAAGGGACTATTTTGTGCATTTATCATGAAAAGAGGAAACTGGTGGTGAAACGGCTAAAAATGAAAACGTTCTTTTCAGCTGTCCTCAAACAATAAAAGCTATTTCTTACTTGAATTAAAATTGAGGTCACTTCCAAATTCGACAAGCACAATACAGTATTGAGCAACAACTGACAAAATTAAATGCGGCATCGCCTTTGATCTTAAAAACATTTCTTTCAACTGGATTAAGAAAAACAAACGATAATTTATAAATGAAAGGTTGTGACAAGCAAGGACTCTGAGCCGTGGTAGCAGGTGATTCCATACCTAGATATGCCCATATGTATTCAGGAGACACGCCATTCATCAAACCGTGACCCAGGTATCATGGTCACGCCGTGCGAAAAAAACACGATTCTCCTCCCATAAGTTACTAGCGAATTATTTTTTATTAAAACCAGTTTTACAGCTGCATAAACAAGTCTTAAGGTAAACATCCATATTTTTTAAACTTTAAAGTGCCTTCTTTCCCGTCTTGCTCACCATGATGAGAAAACAGTCAACTAATCACCTCTTGATGTGTGGCAACATTCAACCGATCACCGCCATTGTGGCATTTCGTCTCTTTTCACTAAGGTAGACGTGATTGGTTTTTTAATAAAATTGTATACAAATTAAAATTGGAAAGTCATTTTCAGGTTATATTTTTGAATTACAAATTTTATGAAAGCATGAAATTTTACGAATAACAATAGTGAAAAGAATCCATGTATCACATATTTAGCTCCATGGAATTTACCAAAACGTTACACAAAGGAGGAAGCCACGATTGATGGCAGGTAATATAATAAAATTGAAAAATAATATTTAGATCCCACACTATTCTTACTTTATTAATCTTTACTTATTTCCCTCACCAAAAGTTTAATTTAACATTATGCAAATTTTTTTTTTATTTTTGATTCAACACAATTTCTTATTTGTAACAAATTTTAATCAAAATTGTATAATTACTATTGATAGATATCGATATTTAAAAAGTTAATGAAACCTTACAAATATGGTGTACACTCCCATTATGGATGTACAGTTACATCAATACTCCCATGATGCATCTCACTTATTGTATGTAGATGCATTCTTGTTGTAAAACACTACTTTTTTTTAGACCAGTGGTAAATTCCTTTACTGTATTTTTCCAGTAATAGCTACTAAGGTGGTGTATCAATACTATATTTACTCTATTAGAAGCACGTCTCCAATGGAAGTACACATAAACCGAAAACTGCATTTTATTGTACACTCATGCAAATATGACTTACTTCGATCATAGACACCCCCCTGTCATTTACGTAAGCGCATGCACTACAAATAAAGCAAATATGGTATTATTCATGTACGAAGTGATAGACCATAAGCTGTGGCGTTTTAGCCGAAACAGCACACGATGAGTTTTACCATCAATAAACATCATCAGAACCCAGTAACAATGTAATCATAATAACTTCTGGCTAATTATTAAATTTTACACAGCCCCATAAACTAATATATGGATGAGAAATGATCATAATTCAATGAAACTCATCTATAAAGACATGACAAATAGGTATTTTGATTCAGCTGAGTGGCGGTTTTATTATGTTTTGTTGACTGTTAAAAAAGGTATTAGACTTTTATAAGCTGTAATTTACTGCTACAATGAGAGAAATCAGGTCACCTAGTTCTGAAAGGGAATTAAGACCGGAAATAAGTCGGTCATTTGATGCATTCTTCATGTATAATATTTTGATAAAATTCAGCATTCGCATGTTTTGGTGAAGCCTATTTTATAAATCAAGCAATAAAACGACACTATTTTCACTGAGAAATTACTTTTGCTAGAGAATAGTCAAAATCTTTTGCTTACAGGAATTTCGTACACAAGCTTTGTGATGACCACCACTCTGTAAAATCAAGTGAATCTGGTTATATGTAATTTTCACTGTGTTTTCACTTTAGTCCTGAAGGATTGCCCTCCAATTGTAATGATATCACACCACAATTTCATGCAAAAGCTGGTGAATCGCACAAATAAGAAAAAACATTTTTTTTTAAGGCAGAAAAGTCACATTCATGAGTTTTAATAGTCATTGGAATCTCCCTCAAATTACCAGAGCACATTTCTTTTGGTGACAAATTTTACAATTTACATTTGTGTTGGAAATTTTAAGCATAGAGGTTCAAAGGATTCAACTAAAATATCTTTTATACACCATTCCTCTGAAATGTTACAAGGCTATTAAATCTTGTCAAGTGACTGTTTTGAAATAAGGACAAAATTCTACAAATACAAATTATTATTTACACTGCAAACTAAAACACATACGTATTGGTGCATTATTAGTCAGTTCATTCAAACATCAAAAATATTGTATTCTCGTCACTGAAATAATGTTTAAAAAATTGAAATTTGTTTAACTATTTACCAGGGATATCAGATTAAGATCAAGGTCAGTATTGACATCTCAATATTAGAAAATTTGTTCAAGGTTGAGAAATTTATGTTTATCATATTATTCAAAATTAACAGTTAACAGCCAATCAGCAGTAAACAGCTAATCAATTGAAAACATTGTTCTATTTAATCGCGATTTCCTATCAAGCCCCAGATCACTTTCAAGGACCATGGTAAACGTACGGTCCGTGATCTCAATGACACAAACTGTAAACTTTCATCAGAGTTCTATTTGATATTAATACTGGACTATAAGGAGCTCTGTATCACAGTCAACATATCAATCACTGTTGTCAATCTCCTCTTGTATTCTTAACTAAACTGACTTCTCATAGTATTTATTCAGCGGGCACAGCACGCCTAGCCACGGCGCAATATACATAGCACTCCATGGAATGAGTACAACTCGTTTTTCATTCTGGATCAATCACTATCGGCGACTGTGCCTGGTACCACCGCCCATTTTTTCATATAAATCTTCTTGGCTCATAAATTATAATATTTAGGATGATTAATGGGACGAGTGCTTGAAAACAAATAAACAACTTAAGTTTATATAAACTATCTCTTTGCAGTGTAGGGTGTATCTGAGCAGAGAGTAGCCAGGTACCATTCTACACCAAGCACTTAGCAAAGATACACAGGGCTATTTTAAGACTACGCAAACAGCAAGAGAAATGAGATGTTATTACCTTTCGTGACAAGCAGCCATTCATTATCTAGGTGTCCAATACACCTTGGTATAAGCAACTATCGTAAATCTAAGTATCACCCGATAGTTATGCATGTGCCAACATGGCACAATTAGTCAATAACTAATTAAAATTAATTATTAATTAATATTAATTAATTAAGTTTAGAAATGTTTTCTATTTCATAATTTGAAACCATTATGAGGACAAAATTCGCGAGAATAAAATATTCTCTGCAATATTATTTCGCGGTTTGCAGAAATTTCGCAAAATTATTGAAGTGAAACATTGACTAGAATTTATTGTTTCACCATCTCAGCAGAAAACATTTTAAAATGCTTTCTGTGTTTGTGTTACTAGTTGCAATCAGATAAGGATCTTCTTTTAGCAAAATAATAAATAACATAGAAGGTTGAATAGTTGGTAGAATAACCGGGAAAACAGACCACAAATGATTGCATAAGTGATGCAACTTCCAGTCAGCAAAAGTTTTTTATTTTTTTACTAGGGTTTCCCCCAGAATATTGTATAGCTTACTTGTGATAAACAATAGGGTACACTTTGCATAACAATGACTACAATAGGTGATTAACATTCACTATTGTTATGCAAATCTTCTGAAAACAATGTTTTCAATAAAGAAATCAACAAAGCGGGGCAATATTACTGTAAACTGCTTAATTTTTATGATTTTGAGAATTTCATGGCATTCATGAAGACAAAATTTTGCGAAAGTCACTGAAACTCTGTGCCATAGGACACCAAGTAATTTTCATTGCTACAAGTTTTCATGAATTTCGTCTCACGAAATTAAATCAAGTTAAGATTGTACCCTGACATTATCGTAATAGACATGATTTGATGAAGGCACTGATAAGCAAAGTGATTTCATGACTCAGCATTATCACATTTGTGGCGACGCAAGTCTTCAATATCCATCCCCAATTTATACAACAGACTTTGATACACGCATACTTGTTTTCAAAAAACAAATCAACTGCGTCAGCAGTTTCAGGGAGAAATGTTTGGCAAATACTGTAGAATATTTTATTTTCGCTTGGAATTTATTTTCGCTATTTTCGCTCAAGGGACGATTCCGTGAAAATAAAATCCAGCGAATATACTTTTTTTCCTATATTTCACATTAAACTCATGAAAAATCAGTGAAAATAAAATCCAAGCAAAACGCCCCAAAAGCCTTTTCAGCGAAAATTAATTCCAGCGAAAATAAAGTATTCCACAGTACTGTAAATGCATTAATTATTCACTGGATTTTAACTTTGCTATATTAACTGATAGGTAAAATCTACTAAATTCAATCCATTTACAGTAAACTTCACTGCCAAATCTATGATATATACACAATATCAAAATAGTGAAAATAAATTCCAAATGCTTGGTATCAAAATAACAGAATTTAGAACTTTGAGTACTGCCCTGTCATACAGTAATATTAGTCTACTTCCCCAAACACTGTTTTCACAGTTGACTTCAACTCTATCATTGACATTACAGGTTTCAGTGTGTCTTCCTTCCCCAATAATTCACAAGGCTGGTTAGAATAATTAAAAACACTCAACGAACTAAAAATTAATATTAATGCTAAGTTATTTCAAACATGGTAAAAATCATTTTTTTTCCCACATAATGTTTCAAATAAAAAATTATTTTTGTTTCCTTTATTAAATATCACTGTGAAGTTTCATATATATCAGTATACACGTATCATGAAACATCAAGTTCTCAAAATATCACAATCCAAAAATCAGTTTTATAACTGACGACAGAAATCGCATTTATTGGCCAAAATTGGTCAAAAAACTGATATATATGAAACTTCACAGTGATATAATAAAGTTCCTTGCGAACACAGATAAAAATTTAACTATATTTTCTTTTGAAATCAAAAAGATTTATACCATTTATTCAACTTCAGACAACTTTGGTAGCTTATATGCCGTACCCATTAGACCCTGTAATTTTTACATAAAAAAGTGAGTAGCCTGGTTTAACTTGTGAAGGTTTGTCTCCCTCAGGGCCTTAATCATAAAAGAACGGGAATGAAATAGAAGAATTAAATTTTATAGGTTCACATTTTAAGCCATGTTTGATATGGGTCCCACGTGATGTAAACATTGGGTGTGTTGCACAATGCCTGTGGCACTTACAGTGAGCTAGACATTACTGGATATTCAGCAATTTGCTGGTATTTTTTCAAAATGTCCTAGTACTTTCTGTTAAATTTACTATTTTACACTCCTTAAATGCAGCAAATAAATAAAAATGTTCCGTGATGCTCATTTCTATTGATGACAAACTATCCTAAGCTAATTATCTGTGGTTTGAATTAACTCATTCTCAACTAACAGAGATAAAATCTTTTTATTTTCAGAGCAAGCCATGGTAAGGAAAAGCTACATCCAAGAAGAGGTTGCAATCTCCATGGAAACAGACTCATTGGATGAAAAAGATGACGAATCCCAAGTGATGGATCTCAGCCACAAGACATCATCATCATCCCCTGCATCAGAAAACAACACAGACACTGCCTCTCTCAGTAAATACCAAAGCAATGGGCCAAACACAGTGTTTGTGTACAACAAGTCACAAGCAAAAGGAGATCGCCCACTGAACAAGTCAGAAACGTTATCGTTCTCATCATCACCGCAGTTAATGACAACCAGTGAAGGCTTATCAGTGTACAACCCATTCTTGGGAATGCAATCTTCTGATAAGCCAGTCATGTCAAGTTTCCTCCAAACATCATTACAGTCTAACCTCATGAATTCACTGGATCCAATCTTCAGTAGCAGAAACTTCCCGTTTGATGGCATTCTTAAGCATCCAAGCTATTTCAGTCAAAGTGCCAATACCGGTTTGAATCTTAGTACAGAGCCCATGAGACCATTCAACCATCTTCAACACCCTAAAAAGAAACAGAAGACTCAGCACAATTCTGCAACATCAAATTTTGATCATCAACCTTCGATACCGTCGCTAGTGTCGTTAGCATCCATGTCCAATAACATGCAAGCACATTCTCACACTGCTTATTCACCACCGATTCCGCGTCCTGGAGAAAATGCTCTCAATCTATCAAAGCGGAAGAAGGCAAATAATCCTAACTATGGCCATAAGTCGTTACCGTACCAACTAGAGAAGAAAAATGGAAAGATCCACTATGAATGTAACGTATGCAACAAAGTTTTTGGTCAGCTGTCTAACCTTAAGGTACATCTGCGAGTGCACAGCGGAGAGCGACCTTTCAAATGCGAGACATGTGGAAAAGGCTTCACGCAGTTAGCTCATTTACAGAAACATTATCTTGTGCATACAGGGGAGAAACCTCACAAATGTGAATCATGTGGTAAATGTTTTAGCAGTACCAGTAATCTTAAGACTCATATGCGTCTCCATAGTGGCGAGAAACCTTATCAATGTAAAGAATGTAGCGCCAGGTTCACGCAGTATGTTCATCTTAGGTTACATCGACGTCTTCATTCTCGCGAAGGTGACGACCCAATCTCATCGGAAGAAATCAAAAAGTTAAATGGTGAGGGTATCAATCCTTTCGCTATGAGCAACGTTGACGTGCAGGATTATTTCGGACGATCGGACGTAGATGGCGATTCTGTCCATAGCTCCAATGATTTAACTATTGATGAGAGTGACTCCAGTGTCTATTTCCGTGCCAGTCCGCCACCAGTTTTACCAGAATCACAGCCAGACAGTGGAAGTGAGAATGTTCCAAGTCCTTCAACGTCTTATATGACTGAAAGTCCTTCCATTCATAGTGAAACAGCTGAAGGAAGCAAGTTTAACTTCACTCAAGTGCCTGTAGGCGAAAGCAACACAAGTATAAAATCAGATGCCGATGACAGTGGTTTAGAAAGAGAGAGCATCTGCAGCAGCCCTAAATCAACGGCAATTGACACCACGACTGAAGACCAAAACCACAACATTGTAAAGGAGGAGAATGCTAAATCATTGAACAATGTGGTGAAGCTATTGCAGGAAAAGAAACAAAAAAAAAATGGTACATTAGCTAAATTGGAAGATGTCGTACAGAGGATCAAAGCTAGCAAACATGAATAACAATTGTAATCAAAATAATATACTTTATACATATATATATATATCTAAATTATTGACGTTAGAGTACTTATACTTTGATATCAATATGTGATTTTAAAACTTACTATGAAATTCTAGAAATATTGTCTTTACATTCGATGAATCGTTTTAAAAATGCTGGTGGAGATTTCTTTCTGCGACAATTGACAAAACTTCAGAGAAATTTCTTTATTAAAAACTTAAAAAACAAACAAGAAAGGGTAGACATGCTTATGAGATAGGGCAATATCAGTACAAACCAGGGTAAAACTTGAGATACTGATAAAAAACTGTTGCAATATGTTCGTGTATATATGCGCCATACAATAGGATTGTAATTTACGATACCCTAGCTATTCTAAATTTTAACAAAAGAACCATATTTCACAGTCTTATCATTACTGTCACCATAAACAATTTTTTTTTCATTCTGATACACATGGGTCATCGATCCATTGACTGCAGTTAGTAGAGTGGTAACAACCTATTAAAGTTAGAGTTCAGTTTAAAACTATTTTCATTCTTTTAAAAGCAGTATGTGTAGTTTAATACCAAAATAATTCTTGAAACATTCTATTTAATATTTTTGATGTTTCTGTCTGTATAGAACCATGTGTTGAAGTCCTTATAAAGTTTTCAGGTGGTAAAAATCAGGTTATTTTACTTCATTTATTTTTAGTTCAACATTGGCAAGTTTTTAGTAGTAATGTGGCAAACAGAGAACCTAAAACTTGTTTATTTAAAAGAAGACTAGTTTACTTTGGTAAAAATGTCAAATTTCTTTTGATTTGTTGGTTTTCATAATTTTTAGAATCTACTGTAAAAAAAAATGTATTTTTAAATTTTGACTTGCCATATTTAAATATACTTAGCTTTCATTATCTTGCCTCAGTGATGTCAAGCACCAAAAAAAATTTTTAAAAGATTTTATTATTTTTTTCTAGAAAGTACTGTTTTGTTTTAGAGAGCAGTATCTCAGTCTGGTGCTACATGTAATTAAATTTTTTAAAACTTGAGAAACTTATCAACAAACCAACACAATCAATGATGTAGGACACACAGACGAAGTACCTGTTTGTTGTTAGGCAAGAATTTTATAAATTCTTTTTATTGACTTGCAAGTGTGTGCATGTTGTCTAAATGTTGATGATGGTGCACTTTTTTTTGTAGCAATATCGAAAAAAAAAATGAAAAACATAACGACCATGTACATAATGAAATTCAGAATTTCATATATTTGAGAAACTGTTATTTATATGATTCAAATAATTGCATATTTATTTTGAATTTTTGAAAAACCAATAATGTTTGAATTTTCAAATAAATATATCATAGATTCACAGTCTGTACCGATTTTGTTATGTTTACACTGATTGTGTGAGAATTACCATTAATAAGTCAAAGTTGTGTTGATATAATTTAATTCCAAATGGACAAAGATAAATTTTTATCAAAGTCATTGTTACTCTCTGCTTTATTAACCCTTTGAGCACAATTTTTAATTTTTGGCAATTTCTACAAAATGATTTTATACAGTCTCCCCCCCCCCACATGAAATATTGATGAAAACTGACAAACCTTTTGATCAAAAAATCAAGGCATTAACTGAAACTATGTGTATGGTTCAAAATGATGATGAAATTCAGTGACAATTTTACAAAATGTGAAAATATTTTTAGGCGAGAAAAAACTCAAAGGGAATAAATACCTGTGTGAATTTCTCTGAAATTTGCAAAAAAAGGTGTTTTTCTTTTACAGTAAATTCCATTCAGTTTTTGCTCTGTTAGAAACTTGTATCTAATAGAAGCAAACATGAATAAAAAATTTCATACTGGAAAAATAAAATATGATAACCATATTTCGTTATCACATGCAGTACTAATTTACACTACCAATGTACAGTATTTGTTCTATAGAAAAACACAAAATATTGCATGATCTGATTTTCCAAGTAGAAATATAGTGAATGGCAATTTGCTTTCGTCTCATGTTCTTCTTCACCCTCAGAACATAAATATTTTACAAAAAAAAATGTTGATGAAGTCTTGCAGACGTTTGGAAATTACATTTTGTATCAACAAGGGAATTTTAGAAGTATAAATAAAAATATGTGAAATCTTGCATTGAAAATTTGCTAGAAAAAAATAGCACGTGTTAGCACATTGCATGCTGGGAATGTTTTATATCATTCATATTGACTATCAGTGGAGGCATATTATGGGATATCGCTGGAGTCATATTAGTGGAATAGTTTTATGCATACTGTGTCTGAGAAAAGACAGTTATCTAGTCATATGAGTGTGTCACCTGGTCAAAATAATCAGAGAAAACTTGTAGTATTGGCAGGATTCAGAGTTGAGGAAGGGTTGATGGTGATATTCAAGTTTACGATAGTTCATTCCCAGTTTACAAAGATAACTGTGTGTTGCAGCTAGTACTAGAGGGCGATATTTTATTGGACTGGTATTCCTACCAACATGCAATGAAAAACAACATGTTTACATCTGATAAAAGGGCAGTGGCCATCATGCGTTCAAATGTATATACACGTGTTGTATACATCACTATGGACTTGTATCAAGAGTGAGCACTGCAATTCAGCGACGCCATCAAGTGGGGGAGATAGGGTTCTCCCTATCAGGGTGTAGAGTTTTTGATAATTTTAAGTTAAAATGGAACATTCTATGGCTTCCTTGGAGCCAAAATTACTATCAGACAGGTCACCGTTGAAGGCTGTGGCCACATGTGATCCCTGGTCAGTCAGAATTTTATGGTTGCCAGAGGATCTGCTCCCCAGGGTAAAGGGGTGCATAGCCATGGCATGAGGACGCAGCGCCCCTGTTCCCTTGTTTAAAAAAATCCTTTGTACAACAACCACAGCACTTTTTACATTGGGTGTTAGTGAAGGCTGAAACTAAGTCATGGCTTTCGGTGTAACTAGAGGCCTGTGACTGATTTCTCTCCCAACAATAGATTAAAATCATATAGGTTTCATTAGTTCATCACCAATATTTGTGGGCATCAGTAAGTCTATATAAACTGGTTAATTGGGTCACAAACCAAAAGTTATGATCATATCATATATTTATAAGAACCTCATCTCCTTTGAAGTAACTGCTGTCAAACTGGCCTCAGACACCCCCCTCCCCCAGACATCCAGTTTTCAAACTTCAATGAGAACTGCTCATATTTTTGTGGAAAAATTGAGAACATACAATTACAAGGAAATCTGTCCCACACCCAGAGAGTAGCAAATCCTGATGGGACACCAGGTGTAAATATTATGATCCCAGTCACTCTCAGCTTTAGTAGTATATCTCTTGAGAACTGAACCAATACTTAAATTGAAAATCTGATACAAAACTGTATTTCTGAAAACATTATTATGGGTGGAGTTCACTTGATTCAAATTAATACTAATGATTTGTAATATCATGTAAGGCAGCGCCCTCTAGAGATAAATGAAAGAAATTAGTTAATGAGTAGTAGAGTGGACAAACTAAAAACACAAGGTAGGAGGATGATGGAATCAACTACTATGTTGTAGGGGTGTTTTACCTACACAAAGTAGGGTGGGATATACCACTATGTGATGAGGATGATTGTACATTGTCTATATGATAGAAGATGAGATGCATATTTGTAAGGCTCTCTTTCAATTATACAGTAAAGTTCTAATGCAGAGAAACTTTAAACTCTAGCTTCAGTACAACACACTCAAAATTGAATCACAGGGAGCCCAGGAACTATAATGTGTCAACAACCAATCATAAGAATGATTGCGAACACACTGAGTTTACGACTCGGTTAGCCTCGCTCAATTGGTTCGTAACCAGTCTTGGGATTGGTTCTTGACAAATTCTGAACAGGCCATGCCTCCAACTGTGCCGTGCGTTCAGGCCAACCGTTAATTATTCATAAACGGAGTCAATTTGTGTAGTTTTCCAGATTTATTCTGCAGATATCGGTAAATTATAGGTAAGGCTTTGGCAAAATTTGAAAGAGCAACTAATATTCTTTAACCTGGTATTTTTTATAGATTTTATTTTTCATTCTGTTTGTTTGTTTTTTCCAGTTTAAAAAATATGAGCTCGCTGGAGCCTTCATTCCTTGTTTATTTCTTACACAAGATACCAGACGATACACCCCGCTCATAGGGACTGCATACAGTTGATTATAGTTCCTGGGCTCCCTGTGATTGGATCAACAATACCTACTTAATTGAAAGCAGCTAAATAACTGCAAATGCAAATGTACATGTTATTTCTTCAATGATACATTGTCTTTATTTGGCTTTACATCCATTCAAACAGGCATTAAATGTGTCTTTGTAAATTTGTACAATGAACCAGTACTACTGAGCCAAAATGACATTTCTGCTATCAAACGAAAACACATGGGTTAAAATGATAGCATGGCCGGGCTATATACACATGCAAACAATGCCTAGACAGAACAAAAAAATGATTTATACCGATAACGACAAAATTTACATTTGCAAAGCAAAATAAATTTTCAAACTAACTTTCTCAAGAGCACTATCCAAACAAGGTATAGTATGCAAATTAGCTAATTGATATGTACAAACTGATGACAGTTCTCCACAGAAACAACAAGCACATACAAAGTTTCAATGCATTAGGACAAAGTGCCACAAAAATACACAAAGAACATAGTGAAACATGCTTCCTGTTATGCAAATTAGCTAATTAGCATTTGTGTAAACAGTTGCAAAGAGACACAATGAAATTGGTAAAATTAATATGCGAGGATTTGTACCAAAATCTAATCAGAAGTTCATCATAAAGTACTTGTGAACCAAATTGCATTCCAATCTACCAAGAGGTCCTTGAGATATTGGTCGACATCCATCCGTCCACGCAGACTTATTGCTCGCTAGTTCTATACACTAATATTTGAGTACATGTCCTGCATACATGTCACTTTTCAATGTAACTTTTTAATTCTAAAAATAAAAAGCATACAGTGAATGGCTAAAACTTTGGGGTGTTACAAAAGTTTTATAAATATGAATTTTTGACTGTTAGAATTCCAATTGACCAATTCAGAAATTGTTAGTTTTACCGGTAATTAATATTAATGAGTTTGATCAACATTATCCAATCATCAAGCACTTCATTTTGAATTAAGTTAAAGGGCAGCAGTCGTCGCGCCGCGTCCTGTTCTATACAGGACTCATAGCATTGTATACAATGCATGTAAAATACATTGTTTATTGCGACGACCACCGCGCTTTAAATGCGAGTAATATTAAATTGTTAAATGTATCTTGAGGGAAGCAAGTCATTGTCAAAAGACAGGTCAAAGGTTAACTAACCGCTATTAAATTCTGTACTGGCAGTGTTCATCCAATAAGGCATTTGATTGGTCAAATTGTTTTCATTTGAAATTTATAAATATTTTATGTAAGAAAAGCAATGCTTTCTTGAAATGCATAGTACTTTGGCACAACAAACCTGTTCTGTTCATCTTTATAAATATTTACAAATTTCAATAGCAGATAAATCTAACCAGCCATTCAACATTTGCAGGGTAACCATTGGAAAAACATTACAATGTCTTGTTTCAGTTTGAATTGTGAAATTTATAAAATTTATAAAAATGAAGAGAAGAAGTTTGTAGTGCTGATAGTGCTGCTTTCTGCCATTCACTGTATAATCTACCATCTATCACCAACACACACAATTCACTATTACCGGTACCAAGGATTTATAAGATAACAGTATATAACTCTAATGTACGATGTTATGCAATAAAGATCTCACAAGAAGCATACTCTTGTGATTTGTGATTACATTCTTTGCCATTAATTGAACATATAGTTCTAACCAATAACTTCACAGAGCACAGTGGATACTTGTTGCAGTTACATGAATAGAAATCAGACAGATTTATCGCTTTATTCAAAAACTCATAGTCAAGGACACTACAAAAAATGGTCTGCAATGAACACACACCAGTTCTTTCACAGATTATTTTTTTCTCCATAGACCATATAATAGTGTAGGATCTATGGTTTCTCTTAAGATTTTGTCATTACCAGTACCTTGTATGTGATCTTTCTAGCCTTTCAAAAAAATCATTGTCAGGGGTCAACCATTTTAAATCATGGGGGTGGCTGGAAGAGTGTGTGACCAGTACAATTGTTTTTTTTAGTGGTGTCTTATCTGTACATTTTTATTTTCTTGAATTTGCTAACTGATTTTTCCTGCAAGACTTGCATGCTTATTTGTCTCTCGGTGTCTAACTTACATTCCCCCCCCCCCGCCGTAATTTCAAATTAACCGCCCCTATTACCAATGAAATTATTTTCTCTATTTCTGATAACAAATTCTATGATGTCATACTTTACCCATAATTCTTTGCTGAATAATCAAGATGGCAGACTAAATAAATTGATGAAAAGTTGAATATCTAGAGAATAAAAAGTGATATAAAAAAACTGTAAATTGCATGTTCTTACATTTGCCAAGCTCTTTTTAATATGGGAGTATGTAGTTAGCCTTGACTTCTCCTTTAAATCTGTCGACTAGCGTGCGCGTTCTGTGGTTGAAACACTGAAAGTACAAATACTTGGTGTTGGAGTGAGAAATGTGAAAGAAAAGTTTGATAAATCGTACAGATTTGGATTTTAACTTTCGTTGAACCAGGGTGAACTTACTAGTGTATTTTTAAAACCTTGTAAAAAGAGGGCGCCCTTCATACAATAACCATCGACACGATCGACACTTCTACTTGGGGCGATAGGAAACTAAAAAAAAAAGTGGAAAAACAGCCTCAATAACTTGCGTTCCATCGTCACACACAACACCAGCAAATTATGTCTTCGATTCACGATGTATGGGGACGACTCGCGTTAACGCCAAGGTGACGTACACGAAAAAGCCGCCACGACCAAGTTATGCTTACTCGTAACCTTGTAACCCTTGACCGGAATGAAAACGAGGCCAGTAAATATATAGAAAGAGTGTTTTGTTGCAAAGAATTCCGAGCAGTTTTCCCGTTATTTAGGCTTGATCGGTTGGGTAAGGAATCGTGGTTTGTTTTTTAAAATGTTATTTATAATATATGGAGTATTGATAGTCGCCACTATCGCAGCTCTGTCGAATACATTGACAGTTTTGAATTGTCAAACCATCCTCTACAATGACAAGTGCATGAGTTTTTCGCTCGATTTACGAAAATTGTAGCCCCTGGCATCGACCGACCACTTCCAACCCGACCACGGACGTTGTGCATGAGGTTTTATTGTTAATCCGATATAATTAAAACACGGTCCACGTCTTTCAGTCGTTTAGTGTCGACGTTGGATCTTGCATTACACACAGAGGACGTTGACAAAGATAATTTTCCTCCCGACATTATTACCGTATTTCCCGTATTAAAAGCGCATGCGCCTACGCATCTAAAGTATCACTACAATGTTTATCTTGTATGCTTTAACAATGGCCGTTCCACGCCACCCCCTGGCACAAATTTTGTGTAATGCAAATTTAAAAAAAAAATCTGTATTTGTTTTAGTATTTAACTCTATTTGACATGGCATATTTTACTCTGATCGGTTGTAATTATAATTTAATCCATCAGCTCTGCAAACTCATGAATATTTATAGAGGTTGCTAGCAATAATTTTGCCACATCCACAGACCCCCAGGCATACAGATAAAGTTGCAAATTAAATTAACTTCATCGGCTGTGTTGTTGATTTCGACGTTGTGTCCAACTGTTTCAAGCAGTTACATTTTGACAAGCATGTTATTATTTTTAGAACTTGCATGTTTGAAACACTGATATTTGCCAAATGTGCAAGTCAAAAATGCTGTCTGTTTCTAGTGTGGCCAATCGTGTACTACATTTTAGATGCATTTTTTATTCTCATTCTTCCCAAATTGATGTTACCCTCAGAAGACCAACTTGTTACAGTAGGTTGTAATGCATACATTTCCTGATCATGTGTCAAGCTGGTACCAAGCATGTTTGGTTTTGGTATAAAATCAGGAGAGTTAGATTTGGTGCACCCAGTGACTTAATTGAAAGATAATCTGACTGATGGGATATCGTCAATTCAAACCTGCGTTAGGCCAACGTTGTGCCATCATCTAATAAGCTCTTAGTCTTGTAAATTGTTAGCTGTAGAATAATATTCATGAAATGGGATAGGATGCAGAATTGCAAATACTGTATCATAAATCATGCAGATACTGTCACACCAATACTGCAACAGATGTATAATACTGTAAAATACTTTATTTTCGCTTGGAATGATTTTTGCTATTTTTGCTAAAGGAATGATTTAGTAAAAATAAAATCCAGCGAATATACCTTTTTTCCTATATCTTACATTCAACTCGTGAAAATAAGTTCCATACAAAACACCTAAAAAGTTTTTGCAGCGAAAATTAATTCCAGCTAAAATGAAGTATTTTACAGTAATAACTTTTACCTCATGCATTTGTTGTATCAAGGATATCTTCCAATTAGTACTCACTTGTGTTTTTATTTACTTAGTTTCAGATCGGTGTTGAAACTCGATATGGACGCATGTCCTGTATGCAACAGTCCAGCGACATTGAGAGGGAAAAACAGATTAATTCTTGATGTTTGTAAACATTTTATTTGTGTGTCATGTTTGATCAGATCACCAGAGGAGTGCAAGATATGTACAGCAGGTAATTGGAGTATGATGAGAATAAAATATTAAACTTTCTCAAACTGAGCATTTCACTATGGGAGAGCATTTTCTATGGAATATAATAGGAAAATATTGGAAACTCACTTGATACTATAATTTTTGCATACATTAATTTTTATAATTTGTTAAATTTATGGCATTTTATGGATCAAAACTTTGCATCACTGACTTTACTAAAATATTAGAAGCAGTATTTTGAGATATTTAGAATCTCAAGAGGAATTACTAATAATAATGTAGTGGTGATATTAAATTTATACTGAGAAGTTATGATTTATATTTCGTATCATTTCAGAATGGGATTTGCATAAAAAGACCACTTGTCTTGAGAGCTGTAGCACTGGAGGTACTACCAGTTTTATTTCTGCTAAAGAGTTTGATCGGAAAGACTTTGATCGAAAAGACTTTAATCTGAAAGATTTTGATCGAAAACCAATGAATGATAAAACAGCCATGTCTGAGAAGGTTTCCCAAACGTGCTCCAGGGATGAGAGATTGCCGGAGTCTGCAGAAGAATGCCTTACTGATGTTAAAAAGGAAGAAACTGTCGTGTCCGAGAAGGTATCTGTGACAGATGACAGAAACGGGAAAACATCTGAGGAGTTCCACCCAACCGATGTAGGAGATGAGAGAATAATAGCAAAGAGAACTAGAAGACGTAAACCGATACACGTGCATAAGATAATAGAAAAAAAAGGGAGTTACTATGACGATGACAGTGATGAAGAATTCTTTACTAATGAAGATGATAGAGAATTCGCATCCAACTCTGAGGACACATCAGAGCACATCAAAATGACCCTGAAAACAAAACAAACGTCTGACGGTTATAATTCAGAGCCTGAAGGTTTTAATCCTGATTCAGAAGAAGTGCCAGATGAGGAAAAGGATTATGGGAAGGATGGTGAGGAATGTCCAAGAATAATTAAACCACCGAAAATTAGAATAACCCTAAAACTTAATAAAACAAACTCTAGAAAAAGAAAAGCTCATTCCGGTGATGATGAGGTTGGAGGTATCGTAGACAGTGGTACAGATGCAACTAAAGCAATTATTCCCAAAAAACGTGGTCGGCCACGAGTACCAGATTCCATGAAGAAAAAGAAACCGCAAACAGTTGTGAAAAGACATTTCTGTGACGTCTGTGGGAAAGGTTACCCTGCTCCAAGTAGGCTGGAAAATCATAAAAGAATTCATACTGGTGAGCGACCATTCCCATGTGACAAGTGTGAAAAGAGGTTTCCTGATAAGCGAAAATTAGCCATTCATCAGGGAACCCATTCTACAGTTAAGCGCTTTAAGTGTGATGTGTGTGGTAAAGGTTTAAAGAGTAAATATGCCCTCACATACCATGTGTCAATTGTGCATGAGGGAAAAAGACCGTTTCCATGTCCTCAGTGTGAACAGTCGTTTGGACAGTTGGGGAATCTGAGCTACCATGTTAAAGTGAAGCATGATGGGCAACGTGAATGCTGGAAGTGTGGAGTATTTTTTACACAGGAAGAAATCAATGACCATCGCAAAGGCTGTTTGCAACCGCCGAAGAAGCATAAATGTCAAGAATGCAATAAACTTTTTAAGACTATCCGAGATTTGGCCAGGCATTTTCGAGTTCATAGTGGTGAGAAACCGTACATATGCGAGATATGTGGCAAGGGTTTCGCACAGACAATTGGCTTGCGAACTCATCAGAATTTCCACAATAACTTCAGACCGTTCAAGTGTCCATACTGTCCTAAGACTTTCTGTGCAGGATCCAACTTGACAGAGCACAAGCGACTGCACACTGGTGAAAAACCATACCAATGTGAGTACTGTGGAAAAACGTTCTCATCTTTAAATAATATGAAAAAGCACATGAAAGTTCATTTCAAGAACACCGGGGCAATGGCAATGCAAAAGATGCACTTAAAGGAGGAGAATGCTAAACTGCAAGCGAGTGTCGACCAAGTGATGAAAGAGCCACTGGAACCACCGAAAGTATCTCCTGACACGCTCGCCGTGCAGGCAAGCGTTACTAAACCACCACCTTCCAATAGTGACACACCAGTTGAACCAGAAATACCACAATCCAATCCAGTACTGGATATCCCAGTAACGTCAAGTACTGACACCAGGTATATGAACTCTCCACACTTCACCGCTACAGAGGCTGCCATGCACTATTATAACCAGGCGCAACCGTCAATGGGAACAGCACCCTCAACCATACCATCGGTCGGTACCCAAGGATTCCCGTCTCAAAGCGGTTATCATTATAGCGCGTTGGAAAATGAGGCACTCTTGGCGTTGATGCAGAGTGCACAGTATGCAGCACCTGAACATGTATACCCTAAAAAATAATGTGGATATATGTAGGACCTGAACATGGATATATTGGGGGACCTGAACATGTATATCCTAGTAAATAACATGGATATATTGCTGGACCTGAACATGCATATCCTAAAAAGAATAACAAGGATATATTGCTGGACCTGAATATGCATATCTTAAAAAA